TCAATATTTTTTCCCTCGTCTTTAGAAGTTTTTAAGTCTGTAAAAAATAAGTTTTTGAGGAAGAAGAAGAAGTAGTATTTTATTTTTTTTTTAGACTTTAGAAACTCAGAAGCTGATCAAATATCGGGTTAAATATCGGTGGGGTGGCCGATGTCTGATATTCAGTTTTAAGGCCGATACTGATAGGGGGCCGATTATATCGTGCATCCCTAAAGTTTATATTAAACAGAAACAGCAACAACAGGTAGAACAACAACCAACCCGTTTATTATTAAACAAAGTGTCACATCAATTTAATGTTTTATGTATAGACATATAAAGTTTTACAGTTAAATAAGACATATTTAAATTAGACAAGTGACAAGTTTTAAATTGGGCTTTTGCTGGATAGAGATGCTGGAGTGGAATAAATCATTCCTCTATTAGCATTAAATCTGGGGTTGTAGATATAGGCCAGTATAACTGGATGTTTATTTTGTATGGGGATAATATCCAACTCATTTCAAAAATCAACATCAGACTGGACCATCTCTTATAAAATACATCTAAATAAAACTGAATAGCATGAAAGATAAGTAACACATAACACCTTCTAGAGCTAATTTCTCATATCATAATTAGATCATCATGGCTTGTAAGAAAAACAAAGTTCAGAGAATTGTGAATAATTTTAACAATGAGTATTATTTATAAAATCAACTTCCGCTTCTCTCAATACATCCATTATTTTAGAGCAAGTCATGCTTCCTTCTGCTGAGCAGTTATGCAGATCCTGATTCAATTTTCCATCAGGACTGGCAGCTGCTCACATTAGGTGTTTTCAAGAGGACATTGAGAGACAATAAACCCAACAATACAGCTGACCTTTAGACAGCTACTAAAGCAACGTGGGCTGTATCAGCAGAACCCACAATTAACTACTGAGTGCCACAAAAATAAACATAGTTTTCACATGTCTGGAATTTCTGTTTAAAATAAAATGTTTTTGCCATTATTTATTATTAGATTTTTCTTACACTTTCTTTAAGTTTTTTTTTTTTATTATCTGTGCATAATGCAACCAACATGACAATAATTTAAAGCCTAAAATGTTCAGCTCTATGTGTCATTAATCTATATAACATATAAGTTTCACTTTCTGGAATTCATAATATTCTAGTTTTTTAGATGTTCCTGAAATTTAATCAACTACTACATCATTCAGCACTAATTTATTATTGTCACCATAAACTGTCTTTTTTATTATCTCAGTAAAAGGCTTCACTTTACAGCTGTGCTTAGTTTTTTTGAGTCCTATCTGCTGATTTAATCAGTTCCTGTTTATAAAACTGTAAAAACTGTAAAGGAATAATTTTAACCTTAAAGCCTAAAATGCATAATTCATTTTGTATTAGATTACTGAGAAAAACGTCGTTTCCATTAATAAACCGTGTCAACATTTTGGAGATACAATGATGTGTATTTGCTAAAAGTAAACAAGTGCTAGCCAAAAAGAAAAGCCTTGTTTACCTCCGTTCTCCTAGCTTATTTTCCCGTTTGTTGTGCTTTTCATCGGAACACGCAGCAGAAACTTTACCGCAGAACTTTCTTTCCACTTCATCCAAAAGCTCATCCAGGTCATCTTTATCCATTGTAAACTAGTATTTGTCTTTTCACTGCTAGCTTCTGGGGCTAATCAGCACATTCGGGCCAGTTCCACTACGGATCGAGCGTTTGCCGTTGCTAGGTTACAAAGCGGAAGTAGGCCAAACTCTTCATTCAAAATAAAAGCCCTATTTTTTTTTTTTTTTTTTTACCATTTTTATTACAGCTTTTAAAGCGCTTCTCCTCTGTCATCGTGTGTTTTGTAAAAGCGTCAGAGCAAATGCATTAAAAAAGCTAAACAAGCAGATAAAAATGATGATTCTGTTCTAGAAACTCATCTAGAACCTCTGGAGATGATTTTTATGACGGATAATTTCTCATAAAAAGAACATAATGAATAACAGTGAGCATCAACCCGTAGAAAAAAATCAATGAGTTACTACAACATTAGCGTTTTTGAATTGCTTATTTGCACACAAATAAAATACTGAAAACTCTTATACCTAACAATTTTTATGTATTTTGTTTGTTGTAAACTGTCTTTTAGAGACAATAACGAAATGTTACAACGCCATAACAACGCCTGAACAGAGTCATGGTTGACCTTAGATAACCCCATCCCCGATCAGACAATCAGTACTCAGAATAAAATACGCCCCCTGGTGGCGATAACAGAGGATAGGACAAATGGGCTCCTACATGTACAATTCTTTACTTTTTTGAGTAATGTAATTTTTTTTTTACACAGCCTATGTGGAAAAAAGGACCAGATTATGCAAGCAGGTTGAAATTCAACATAAACAGATTCTTCGCCTTTATGATTAAATTGCTTAAGATTTTATTTTGAAAATCTAACAAGCAGAACCCACCCCTTTTGAACAACCACCAACCAACTTAACAGCCGTTAAACTTCAGTTGCATTATAGAATTAGCCTAAGCGACAAGCTAGAAAAATTAAAAAAGAATACTAACATGTTTGCCATAAAAAAAATAAATAAATGGACGTTGTCGGCAGGATTCGAACCTGCGCGGGGAGACCCCAATGGATTTCTAGTCCATCGCCTTAACCACTCGGCCACGACAACTGGTAACCTTCATATAGTATCCATTCAAAATTTCGATAGACCCCAAATCAGACCGTTCTAAATATTGGACATATGTTTAATTCAGGTTGACGAAAGGGTGAAGTTAGTTTTAAGTTAGATATTCGACACAGACTTTCGACACAGAGATTTGCTCCGGTTAAACCTTTTCTTCGCTCCGGGTACATTACGATCGGAGAAAGCCGCTCCAAAACTTTATGTGCACCCGTATTACAGACTTTACTGTAAAATAAAAAATAAAAAAATACACCAAAAGATATAGGCTAGAGCGTGTACCGACTTTCTGTTTTCAAAATAAAGCAGATGCATTGCTTTTGAAGCTGAGAAGCCGTTAATAATTATATTTTCTACTAAAATTGATAACAAATATTTAGAAATTTGATATGCAAGACTAAAAGGTGTATCTCATGAAACCAGTGGACTGATCACATGACCTGGAAACTATTGTGCAAAAAGTCCAATATGAATATTATTTTAAAATTATTAAGAGACTTAAAATGCAAAAATAAAAGCCAGAACTTTTCGACTAGTGGAGTGGTATGACCCAACACTGATTTTGAGTCAATTAATCATACAACCTAGATGACATTGAGTAAAAAAATGCTAATATTTCCATTAAAACATACAATAATTCAAGATTTCATATGCAAAAATGAATGGTGTAAGTTTTGAAGCCACTACAATGTGCAAAAATGTTTCAAAATCAGTATTGAATCGTAGTATTCCACTAGCTTCAAAAGTTACACATTTTATTTTTGCATTAAAAATCCCCAAACGTTTTAAATACATTTTTTAAAATGAAAATATTAGGATTTTTGCTCAGTAGCTTACAGCTAATAATGTGATCGACCTACTCAAAATCAGTGTTGGATCATAGTACTCCATTGGCTTCAAAATGTATCCCTTTCATTTTTCCATTTCAAATTATTTTTTTATTATTATTTTTAAAGGCCTATGGAAATGTTGGCATTTTTGCTCATTAGTTTCCAGGTTTTGTGATGGATTGACTCAAAATCAATGTGGGATCATGGTACTTCACTGGTTTCATGAAATACACCTTTTACTTTTGCATCAAATTTCTAAATATTTGTTGTCAATTTCAGTATATAGGACACTCTAGATTGATAATTTCTCGGATTTAAAAGCTAGAATCCACTTTTATTTTGGAAAAAGGAAAAAAACGGTAGCCGTTTCCTCTCACCGTTTTTTTTTTTTTTTTTTTTTTTTTTTTTTTTTACTGTAAAGTCTGCAATACGGGTGCACTTGAATTGTTGAAGCTGCTTTCTCCGTTACCGGAGCGAAAAATATGTATCGAATATCCAACTTAAAACTAACTTCACCACAATAGGAAAACTGAGCTGTTCTTGACACACACGCCTCATCAGTTGGTGGCACCAAAAACTGCAAAAAAATAAAATAAAATAAAATAAACTCGAAAAACTCAAAAAATATTTTCTTCAATTCATCCAACTTTCTTTTGGGCATCCTGTTAATATACACAGCTAAAAAAAAATACGTTTTAATTAGCCTGCATTATCAAATTCTGTTAAATTTGATTTGATTTTGGTTAATTAAGTTTGTTAATGACTACATTTATTTCTAAAGCAATTAAAATACAACATAGAAGATGACTGAAGTGCTGAAGAACAACAAAACGGAAATACATAATATATGAAATAAGAAATAAAAACATCATTATTAGGCTACAACGAAAAAGGGCAACAGACAAGTGTTAAATCTCACTGGGTTAAAACAGAAGAAAAGTTTGAAGAAGGGTTCGGCTGTGACTCCATCCTGGAGAGAAATATCAGCTGTGCTGCTGCCATCAACACCCTTGTTTATAGATGTTGGATATCGGCCTGTTTTCCAGTGTTGTCCTGTTTCTCTGACCGTGATTGGCTGGATGTGCTCTCTTCATCCTCTGACATGGGACTTGGCTCTGAGGTGCAGAAACATGAGCTTAACAGGCTTTTAAAGGAAAAGTTTGATCACATTCAGAATACAAACTTCTGAAAGTACTTTAAGTATGAAATAATTACATGCTTTTCAATAAATGTTAAGTGTTTTTAATTAAGAGTAATTTCATTCAAATGTGCTTTACTGGAGGCATTCGTGTTTGTCGAAGAACACTACTGCCACCTACTGGTTTGTGACGTCACGGTGCGGTATCGGCTGTTGATCAAGTCCCAGTGCTGTATCTGGTGTTTGTGACAACGCACTATTATCCGTGATGGTGACGACCAGTGCACTATGCAAAGCAGAGAGTAACAGATTAATGACGTGTTTTTTCTCTGGCCAGAAGTTCGATGGCAAATCCTCCCTCTTCAAGTTGGCGATCCATCGATGAACCCGTCCGTGGAAGATCAGGAATCAGAAAGGTGAAATAAATGTTGTTGTTTTTTATATTTCACTTTTACCCGATGTATTCCAGCATCCAGCTGCCATGCACGTGGGCATTGTCAGTTTCACTATAGCTCTGGTGAATTTCAATGGTGAAGTCCTCTGGAAATCTTCAATAATTGTTGTTGATTGCAGATGTGTCTAGTAGTTCCGATTGATTTTGCTTGTAAAGCGGGGAGAATGGCGCTAGGCTTACCGCACTGTGACTATAGCCGGTCCTGGACTCAGTGATCACAATGAAAAATATTGTTTTTCTTTTTTTTTTACTGATTAAAGCTAAATTCATTAAATCAACGTGAACGTATTCGTTTTAGGAATAAATAATGACCCATTGGTTATTCCAATCCTGACTCTCCTGACTTTTCCTTTAAAACAAAGAAAACAATTTGAGACTTTTTGGGAGAGGACTGCAGTCAGGCCCTCAAGAGGAGTCCTACACAAAATATTGTAATAATAATTGTCATAATTCTCTATGTTAAGCCATTAAACCAGAGATATCAGGAGCATTTTACTTGGATTAAAGAGAAAAGGGACTAGACTGTTTCTAGGAGGTCCAAACCCCATTTAAAGTAAAAATAGCATTTTTTCTGCTAATCAGAGCTGCAGCCCAATGTGAATTGGTTAGCCTTCTTGTTGGTACGGTTCCCCTTTTGAGTCATTTTGGGATGACATGAGCTGTATCACAAACATTCCAGGGCATTTAAATCAATTTTGCACTCATCTCACTGTTTAACCGTACAAATCCTTGGATCATATGTTAGCACATAGTCCTGACATCTTCCAGTTAAGCTATCAAAACATTAGCTAGTGTAGAGAGTTCACACACACCCACACATAATTAGTAGTTTTTATTAAACATTTATTTCAACATAAAGTGCCAGTGTGCTTAATAACATCGTTTTAGCTGCCACGGGACTTCCCCCTACTTCCTTTTTCCACTTCCTGGTTTTACAAAGTAACTTGCGGAGAGATTATAAAGGCTTCTGACAGGCTTTCCATTTAAGCTTTGGTTAAATGACGTCTTAGGTTCCCATTTTCCAGCTTTAGTTTATTACATAATGATGTATTACAGGAGATCGTTTATCTTGCACAGATTAAAATCACGATAGGTTAAACCGGAGCATTCGCTTTAAAAGTGTCCATCCCACCAAAAGCCCAGATCTTAGACACCAACAAACACAACTTTCCCCAGAGTTAAATATATACACAAAGTGGGTGTTTTCAATATGTCATCACGTTTCAGTTCTCCATTTACAAAGGTTAAACAGATTTGGTTTCCACCCACGCAGTTTCATGCTTTTCCCCCATTCGTACAGCTTCCACACCAGTGTAAGAAAAAATCCCAAAACACATGAGCCAACCAGAAAAATTAAAGGTCAAAGCTGAATATCAGTGCAACCAGATCACAGTTTTAATATGCTTTAATAAACACAAACAACATATGAGAACATAAAACAACTCAATAAGAGTTTGATTTCTGGAAATCTCAGTGATAGCTTTAGTATGAAGAGTTAACTCAATGTAATCGTAAGCATATGAACAGCCTTTATCACGTAGTGTTTCTGCCATTTTGCACTGGAAAAATGATCTTAAAATAAGTAAACATTTCTTAAATTAAGTGTGTTTACCCTTAATTTGAGTAGATAAATGAGGTGGTTTGCCAATGGAATTAATATTTTTAATCTTAAAATAAGATAATTAGATAAAATGCACTTGAAATGAGACAATGCATGTGTGTTTTCTTATTTTAAACGTAAATTGTCTTGGTCCATTGGCAAAATGTCACTTTCACCTCCTCAATCCAAGAACAAATGCACTTATTTTAAGAAAAAAATACTTATCTTGATTTTGATTTTTCCAGTGTGGGGGAGGAAACCCTGATGTTAAATAAAGTAAAGCTAACAAAGACTGTTCAGAATGACTAATTTTGCTAAATCCACCTTTTCATACCTAAACGTTGTCATTTCCTTTTATCCTGCCTGTTAATTCAATTCAGTTTATTTCGACAGCGGCAATTGAAAGCACATGTCATTTCAAGGAACTTTACAATTCAACCAGATCATAAAGTCAGAATGATTCAAAGATTTCTATCTAATGAAAACCAGTTGACTCGAAGGAAATCCCTCACACTAAGCATGCTTGTAGCGACAGTGGAGAGGAAAAACTCCCTTTTAACAGGAAGAAACCTCAATATGAGCCCACATTGGTTGATAAACACTCTTCCTATAAAAAACGGTTCCTCCATATTGTAACAATCCAAGGATTTTCCAAGACATAGACAGCCTACTCTCTAAATACTAGTCCAGCACTCCTTCAGAGCACATGCACATCCCCATAGAGTCTCAGCTGAATAACAACGCTGCACATCAGAATTATTTTTTTTAACTCTAGCATCAGATTAAGTATCCTAAGTGCAGATAGCTCTGATAAGAACTGTTTCACTCTTAATTACAAATCAGCTGTGCTGCATATCATCCTATATCTCTATATAACCACTTCCTTTCCAATGGGGTGAGCTGACTCAAAAAAATGTACCTCTTTAGGTATACTTCCTGTCTGTAGATATGAATTATTGGAGAAATAAAACCATGTTTTTTTACTCAATGTATAAGTTGAAAAAATTATCATTGCTCTGAATTTCCAGGTATAATTATAAATCCTTTTGGTCTCTCAGCTAGAACTTTCAGGTTTTATATGAGAAGAAATGTAAATGTATGAAAAGGTGGAGCAAAAAGAAAAGCACCAATTTTGAAATATATAAATATCATAATGAGAACTAATACTTTGAAAAAAGGAGCATCTATCTCTTTTCCATTCCTACTCAGATAGACTTAACCCAACTACAATGCATATAAAGCAGCTGATAGTGTATTTGTGTTGTTTTTGATTGAGACGTGGAGAGTCCAAGCATTGCTGTCATGCTGAATAGCTCCATTTCCAGCTGTTTTTGGGCAAAAACAGACCAAGCACCTTCATCGATCACAGGTCTGACCCGCATGCAGCATCCTGTCGTTCTGATCGCTGCTCCATTTGTCACCTCCTCATCTCTTGTTTTAACAAACGTGCCGGCGAGCTGTAAGCAGGACTGTGGTGTTTTACTCCTCAGACAATCCTCAGACACAGACGTGTTTCATCGTGGATGTTTTGGGCCCCAAAGTGTAAATCAGCATCAAGTCCTTTTTTTCCAGCGGTTTGAGAGGAGCATCCAGCAAGATTTCCTTCTTGATTGTCTGATTTCTTTCTTTGATTGTATTCTTCAAACATCTCTATTGAGGTGGAAAAAGAAAGAAAAATCTGTTAGTTTAGGAATAAATGTGGAAAGCAACATTAATGTGCCCAAAATAAAGAACAAGGGGTAAAAAAAAAAAAACATTAAACGATGCGAAACTAGTTAGATCCTTGTTTTCATCCACTTACGTAGCTTATGAAGGATATGAGAAGTGCTAAAACCAGCAGCGCAGAGGCAAAAATAACCATGACTGTATCCGCCAACAGAGGATCTTCAGCATTGATGGGGGCAGCAGGACAATCTGCATGAAAAGAGAGAAATGCTTAGAACCTCTAACATAAAGGGAGTTTTTAGAGACATTAGAGAATAAATATAATAACAATATCAAATGATATTTTACGGCTGGAAAAATTTGTTTCCCCTATTCTGAATCAATTCACATATTAAATCTTAAAAGTTGATTCATATAAGCTCCAAAGCTCTGAAATGACCTGCCTCAGTACATCTGACCTAAGGTCTCTTCTCTGACTATTTTTAAATCTCTTTCCAAAACCCATCTTTTCGCTTTGGCTTATAACACCCAGGAAGACGTTGGGATTTATTTTATCCAAAAAAGTTAAAGAAAACAATCCAAGGGACTCTGTTTCCAAGTTTGAAGACGTTTCGCTTCTCCTCCAGGAAGCTTTTTCAATTCAAAATGTCGGAAATAGAGTTGAATTCGAACTCAACACTATTTCTGACATTTTGAAGAAAAGCGAAATGTCTTCAAACTTGGAAACAAAGTCCAGTGGATTGTTTTTTTTTTGTTTGTTTTTTTATGTTTTTGGAATGATTATGACCTGAATGAGAATCTTCACCAGCTTATTTTATAATTTTATCCCTTTTATCTTTTACCCCATTTTATTTATTGCTTTGGTTCTATGAATATTATTTTTACCCATGTTTGAGCTGTTTTAGTCTTATATTTGTACTGTTTTATGTTTTATTTATTTTTCTGTACAGCAGTTTGATCAGCTGGAGTTGTTTTACAAGTGCTTAAGATATAAAATTGGATTGGCTTGGATTAAAAAATGGTTTTCACTTTCATTTTCCCACCATTGCCTACAGTACTTTAATCATTTGCTGTTGAATCTTAGTATTATATTATAATCAATATGTTGCTGTAATGCTTATAAAACTCAGATAAGGAATTATCCTAAAGACAGTCATCAAACTTGTTTTTACAACCATTGACTCCAGAGGATATTCTCATATATTGTGTTTGACGTTTTCATATTATCTTTCCCGACAGAGACAAATACTTTTGTTCTTCTACAGCAGAAGCATAAAATAAGTTAGATTTTTATGCTCATTATCCTCTTTAGGCCTACAACACATGACTAGCATATAAATTGAGGCTGTTGTTTACTTTCAAACATTAAGCTGTAACCTTGTAAACTTTTAAACCAATGTGATTCAACTCTGAAACGTTTCAGGAAATGACATGTTTCAAAATGTCGCTACTGTAAATGAGCTGGTTTGATTGCAATGTGAATCCCTGCCTCATAGATTTGAGGCGAGCCCATGACTGGAAACATGGAGTAAAACCCAGAGGAAGCTCTCACCTGTCAGAGTTAGAAGGACTTCCCCCTCTCGGTTCTGCTCTCCCACGGGTGCAGCCAGGTAACACAGGTAGACGCCACCATCGCTGCACGTCACGTTGGGCAGGAAGATGTCACGGGATCCATCCTGCAGCTCCACCTGCCTGGATACTCCTTTGTACAATTTGGTTGTGCCATCGGGGAGGTTTCTGGTCAGGAGGCCGCTGCGCTGAGGAGACGGATAGCTCTCAAGCTGTGAAACAAGCACAAAAATCATTAGATATTTGAAAAGCTAAAAGAGAATCTGACAGCAGATTTCTAAGTACAGAAATAAACACACTGCTGTATTACAGCCTCAAAGTCAGTAACATCTATGTTACAAAAAGAAAACACAATGTGACCAGTTCTAGTAATATTTTTAAACTTTAAAATTTTAAATATTATAGCTTAAGTTGCACAGTTTGCCTCCAAAGCCCAGATTTGTAACCTTTAAACTGAGCTGTAATGATATTTCTGCAGGATTTGTTTGTTGTTCAAGTTCTAGTTGGACATCAGCTGCTTGTTCATTCATTTTCAGACATTTTATTTTATTTTTTTATTGGTTTGTTTTTTTTGATTCACTAAATCCTGACTTATAAGCTGTTTTGACTTTAAAAATGCCTTTAAACTCAAAGGGTGTATTGATATACATGCAAATTGGGAAAAACTACTTTAAATAGAATCTATAAGCTCTTTGTATCCTGCAGCCATTCATTAGACACAGTTTGTTTCCACCTCTTAAGCTTAATCTTTGAAGAATGACAGAAATAAATGATTGATACAAAAAGAAGATAAAAGCTGCAATAAGGTAAATCAGAACATGAACAGCTGAAATAAACTAGTAGCAAATTAACCAAAGGTTTACAATTTTTAGACTGGATTTAAGATTATTTTCATCTGTAACGGAAAACTCTTTTTTACATCCATGCTTTTTTCAGGACTATGCTTAACAATATGTGAGCATATACAGGTAAAAAGTCTGAAAATAAACAAATGTTCACAAAAAAAAAAGGTAACAATAAATAACCAGGGAGGTTTAAAACTTTTCCTCAGAAAAATATGAGCAATAAAAGGATAGTTTGTGATTTGATTCAGAAAATCATCAAGAAATTTATTTTCTTTGTTAAAAGAAAAGGAAAACAATGAATAAATGTTTACAGTAGATGATGAGAATATGGAATCAAGGTTTTTCAAATTACTTCATTAGATTATTACCAATTAGCTGCAAAATGTCTGGTTTTAGATCATTATAGGTTCTGTTATTGTTCTGAACTGTCGATAAAACATATAGATTTAGAAACTGGACTGAATTTTTCAAACCATCTGTAATTTTTTATGAATTCTTCTTTATCTAGATTTGATTGTGAGAATTAATTGTTTTCTATGTGGGACAGTTTGTCAGAAGGTTTAATTATTATAAAATTAAACAGAATCTGCATCAAAATAAGTAGTTTATCCTCAGCAGGATCCTCTGAATCAACTTCTATTACTGCTATTTAAAGCTTGTAACTCTACACAAACAGCAGACTGCTGCAATAATCCACACTGCTGCTGCAGCCTTATCCTGCCAATTCAGCTGATTTGTTTCAGCAATGCGTGCTGACTGTAAATCCATAAATGAAACTAACAGAGGCTTGCAGCATTCGGAAATGCCATGCTTGCATTTAACAGCAAAAAGAAAACTTTTTTGTACAGATCTTACAGAAGACAGGTCAGACTAAGCACTGCTTTTACCTTGTACCACCTCACAGCGACGTACTGCACCCCAGGCTTGTGTTCAGCAGTGCACATCAGGGTGGAGTCCTGACCTGACACAGAGGAGACCTCCACCGTGTCCTGACTGACAGCTCTGCCTGATGAGAGGTACACTGCTGAGGCAGACAAGAGGGAGAGCAGGTCAGGATGGCTTCTTTTCAAAAGAAGTTACACAGACAGCCATTTGGATATCAACTAAAGATGCAACATAAAGATTAAACCTCTTGACTATGTTTACTTACTCATTGACATCAGCAGAGCAAGACCCAGCAGATGTGATGTCATCATGTTGATAGGTAGGTCCAGACTCGGAGAGAGAAGCTCAAAATGTTGAACAGATTTAGAAAGTCAACTGACTTTCAAAGGTTTGACACTTCTTATAAAGAGGTTAAGCTCCTCCCACTTCCTCTTTCTTTTCTTCCATTTAAAAAATAACAATGTTCCTTTAACCAATGAGTTTCTGAAAAAAGAAAAATCCCAAAACAAACCAGTTCTTCCTCTTGGTGAGGGAGTTTTATTAATTAATAATCAATGATTGAGGACATTGTAATCTGTTTATATAAATAGGTATACCAGCTTTATAAAGGAAATAATCCCGGTCCTGATCATTTTATAAAAAAGCTAAACTTAGAAAATATAGTTTGTCGTTGTAGAGAATAACATAAGATCCTACTTTATAGCTACTTTTCCACATATTTATACCACTGATGTTTTTAAACAGGTCTTTTTCATTATCTATGCTTGTATTTTAAATAAATAGATTAAAACACTTCAAAAAATAAAAGCTTTTCATCAACTTATTTGTCAATATTTGAATTATTTTTGCTCGGCATTTAACTTTTCTATTTTATTTGTTTTCATTGTTTTGCACAACCCTTTATAAAGTAACGTCTTATAAATAACTTCCCCTTTATGTTTTCCACTATTTATATTTTTCATGATAGCGGCTTTATTAATATATTTAGGATAAAAGCAATCTTTAAAAAAAACAACAACAAAAAAAAAAAAAAAAACATGCGCATATCAGAGTTGAAGGCAGACTCCACCTACTGAGGAAGAGAATGGTGATGACGTTGAAACCGGACCTGTCGAAGGTGTCAGCGCGCGAAGGCTTTAATTTTCACTAACAACAAGCATCTAAAGAGATATTATGGATCATCCGTTAACATTTGCTCTATGTAAGTGTCAAAACCTTACGATCCTGCTGCTTTATCTCTAATTTTATAATAGTCACCTTACTTTACACATTATGTTGAAATGTTGCGTCAGAAAAAAAAAAGCATGTTGCATGAAACGCACGTTTTTATTTGCAATTTTTCGTTAAGCCTTTAAAGTGAAAATTACACGATGGAATAAACAATATTAATTAATTAAGATTAATTAGATAATTAATTAGATTTGCAATAAGCTATTTATTACTGTGAATCGGTGAGTTGTGGGACAGCAAATGTTTTTTTTTATTAATAGACTCATTTCATTCAGCGATGTTTGAAATTTAAGCTTTTTAATCACAATTACATAGCTCGAAATGAAGATAATGATAATATTATTAAAGGGGCAGTGTGAAAGCGAAACCGTGCTGGCATTCCCCGTGCTTTTCCATGGTGGCTGTGAGGGAAAGTGCGTAATTACAGAAAGCAGAAAAGGAAATCCCCGTGATGTAGACGAGTTGTTTGAATATTAAACGTGGTGACACAAAAGAAAAAAACTTCCCCAAATAAACCAGGAACTTGAGTAACTAGTTTCGATATACTATTCAGTAGTATATATATATATATATATATA